TTCGCAAAGTTTCAGCCGTGATGCAAAAGAACGCACTTGATTTTGAGTGATACTGCTTATTACAATCTAACAAGTTTAAAGAAAAGTCAGTATGATTAGAGATGGATAGCATGATTCTAGTACGCAAATACTTCTCTTTATTCAAGGTGATTTTGATGATTTACTATCCAGAATTCCAGGTCTTCGAAACTCTAAGATTCGCTCTGTTCGTACTGCTCTGGCCGTATTTTTATGCAAGATGAGATTAGGGATCAGCCACGCCGTGCTGTCTTCTATTTTCATCTTGAAAAACAAACAAAAAGTATCACATATCCTTCGTCAAGTTCGAGAAGCACTCATGAAAGAATTCGTTCCGGATAACATCGGTCTCAATCATATCAGCAGAAAACAGATAATCGATCGGCACACTACTGAAGTAACCAAAACACTTCTGTTCAATGGGCAGTCGAGAGGTTGTGTTATTATGGACGAAACTTATTTGTATTGTCAATAGTCAAGAAATAACTGCTTTCAGCGACGATCCTATACACTGTAAAAAGTGTAAGGTAAATTAACATTATCTTCGGTTATTTTTTCATTATAACCTAAGTTAATACTACCCACTTTGTCTTTTTGGTAGTTTTATTCTTTGTATTAATGTTAATCTGCTCTATCGACATTTTTACTGTAAAAGTCAGCACGAAAGAACACCTTGCTTTAATATTAATTCAAACTAAATTCTTAATAATTTTCGTTTAGTGTGAACTTACAATAAAATATAGATATTCGCCTATACTGACATTGAAGACTGGTTTCTATTTACATTAGAGCGAAAATATGACCTCTCAGACACGTGTAAATTTACCTTTTGAGGAAAGTATACATGAACGATAAAATGAGTTTACATTATACTGGATTATCTTTTCTTCTCTGATTTCGGTAGTTTTCTCATACGTAGTAATGTTAATGTGCTCGATCACCATTTACTTTTTAAAAGTCAGTATGGAAAAACGCCTTACTTTAATGTTAATTTAAGCTTAAGTTCTTATAATGCTAAGCTGAGAGTTGCCTCTTTGTTGGAAACAATAATTTGCACTGTGTCCAGTTTTTCTGCAAACATAGCAAAGTACTGCTTTAAACAATGTGAATATATGACATATGTCACTCTACGACATACCGCAAGTCCCAAGTCTCCATCTACCATGGTTTGGGCGCTACTGACAATCTGCAGGGACCTACCTATCGACAAAATCTGAAGTCCGGGAACCTCAAAAGTGTATGGTGGTTATCTCTTTTTTCTAGAATTTTTGATTTCATTTTTAAAAATTCTTTTTACAGCTTTAACAATATTTTTTCACGCTTTACGTTATGAAATAGAAAAAACATCTTCGGAAAAAGGGACTTGATGATTCAACTACTCATTTGGAATAACTGAAAATTTTTTTAATTGATTTTGCTTGCGTTCAAGAACATAGAGATTTCCATCTCTATCGAATTTAATTGCAGATGGATTATCTAAATTATTTCTTGCAGCAGTTCAGTTTTTGTGTTAGTGGATTAAATTGATATAGCCCCTGTTGATCTGTAGTAACACAATAAATATTTATATTACAATTGAAGATCATTGTCTTTGCGCCAGTGTGAGGTTCTACTCACTCACTTCTCATATTTATTTGCATACAGTGAACGGCTATATATAGTACAAGAAAGAAGCAACAGTTGTCCAAGAGTTGCGCAGGAGTTGCGCAACAGAAAGAGTTCGGAAAACAACTGCAAAACAGAAAAGAAAGGATGAAACAAGTGTTGCGCAAGAACAGGATTACGTAAGGATAGTACAAGAACACAATGAGTCACGAACGAAATGAACAGAAAGAAAGGAAAAGAAGAAGAGAACATAGTTTTATGAGCTGCCAGGAATGGCAGATCATAACAACCAGGTAAATTTGAGAGAAGAACGGTAGCATTCCAAGAACCATATGTCTATTTTTCAATACCACCTTTGTACCTATAGGCAACAACAAATAGATATAAGTCAAACGTTTTGTTATCAATGTACATACCAATGGGTCCAATCGAATTATCAACAGAATTTTTCCATTGACCAGGTACGACGATGCGATATGAGTAGTCTGGTGCAAACCATTTTCGAACAACGAGATTATAAGATATGTAGATATTTAAATCCGCATCTAACTCAATTCGTAAAACTTTATTAGCAAGAACGGACTCTGTTCCATTAAGTATTATTTTACCAATTGCAGCATTCTTCTGTCAATATTGTACTCGATAATATTTGTAATGTCGCTGATGCTTAACAGTAAAAATAGTTATATCGATAATATACATATTACCTGAATTACTCCCAACCCATATACTTTGTGGTAAATGCACACCTAATTTAGCAACAGTTTCTATTGAGCGATTATTTTCACGTGCGAATCGTTGAATTCGACTATTGTTGATACCAACAATGTAAATGTAATTATTCTTATTATCTAAAAATAAATCTAATGGATTGCTTAGAGACGACGGTGGCTTGCCAGCATTTGAAAAATGAATTACACCACTATTTTTCCAAGTAGCATTTAAGAGAATTCGACAAGTCGATGATAATGAATTTGAATTCATCGACGCTAACAAAAGGAAAGAGAAGAAAAAAAATTAGCACAGAAGGCATAGTTTTAATTGCAAAGAGTAGAGAAAGCGTTTAATGTGCTACACACTCCTTTTCAATATTAGTTTTTTGTGTTAAGGCTTCGCCGTTCAAGGTAGAAAATAATAGGACGAGCTCGCCTATCTGTTAGTGAAGTAAATATTGCATATAAGACTTCTGTATTAATATTAGCAAATAGGCAGTACGTTTCTTATGAAAAGTATTTAATAAGTGATGTCAAGTTTCCAAATAATAAATACCAGTACAGATCCTCGCTGAGCCAGTCTCAAAATACTCAAGGTGTCCAAAACCGCAAAAAAGAGGGTTTTTAAAAAATGGCTTATAACAACCAGGTATATTCAAAATGACGACGATCAAAAGTATGAGAATCATTATTGCTACTGACTTCTTGTTTATATAAATATACTTTAGCAAATGCATCAAAACTCGAATATTTTATCAAAATGTCACCATCAAACTGATTCATCAGTTCCCTGGAGTAACCCTTTGTACCAAATAATAAAATGTAC